TCATCTCCACGCAGTCTTATGTGGTCTTACCGGGGAAAGGGGCCAGCGTCTCGTCTCCCCAGTCTCTCCATCTTGACTCCTCCTTTCTACTTCCTCTTTCCTCCTTGTCTCCTAGTCCCTCCTATCTTCCTTTCCTATTGGCCAACAGTGCTTTATTCATTAACCAGTATGAGAAACATATACAGAATGACATCTCCCATCATCTCCTCTTTTATGTCTAAAATAAAAGAAGGGTTTTAACCTTAACATAGCAAAATATATAACACAACAGTTATCAAGTAAGAATCACAGTTAACAATATTTAATCCATTAACATTTAGCAAGATTTAAGAAAATATTCCATCATCTATTCTATCTTTGTGTCTAAAGTCTAAGAAACATCTTTAATCCTAACTAAGGAAAACTATAATCATTACTATCTGTCTTCAACTCCTTCAAAGACTACAGAAGGATAATATATAAACTCTAGAAATGACAGAGACATTTTGCTTTGTCAGTCACCTGAAGTTCTTCTGTAATCTTCCATCTTCAGCCCATAGGCTATAGTGTGTCTATCATACTCTTCAGCAAAGCAGGAGACTCAAGACTGTCTTCTTGTATTGGCAGTTTGCCAGCCATTTTTCTTTGTGTCCTGCAGACTGTCTAGCAGACTCTTCCATGAAGCAGGAACTCTGTAGCAATGTCCATCTTGAATCAGCAGTCACTTTTCTATGGCACTGCATGCTCAGTTTATACAGCATAAAGTCAAACAGTCCAGACAAGAGCAGTATCTTGTCCAAATGGCTAGTCTTGGGAGCAAACTTCATAATGAGTTTCTTCAATGTCCATCTTCCTTTCTGACGCAGGTGGTATTGCCAGGAGCATTTATGTCTCACTGTCAAGAAAAACCCTAAACCATTTTAAATGCCATATTCTGTAGGTCTTTGAAAAGTTTGAAGAATGCCTATCCATCTTAAATACATCTCTATATATCTAGAAAACCTAACTAACACTATAAGTTTTGACTATTAAAGGTAAAACCTAACTTAAGTTTTGACTATTATAGGTTACAATCTATAATCTGTACTAAATCATACATTACATTTCTAAATGAGCTATATAAACACAATACCTAACCAAGAGGAGAAATATACATATCACAAAATTGACCTTAAATTTGTATCAATAAATGAAAATCCATTCCAAAACAAAGTATTCATATCTATACCATAATTCATATCTATACCATAATTCCCTTTTTACCTTTAAAAACATAGTGGTTGTGATCATTAACCATTTATAACCAACCACATTTAAATGAAAACAAACATTTATAAACAATTTTTGGGAATTTGGGTGTCATTCTTACAAACTACTTCCTGCTGATAGGGGGTGCTGTCATGGGGGATTCTAAGAAGCTGCAGACATCCTGGTTGTAGTCTGCAAGGCTGCTTTGTCCAAGCTGTTTTGAATGTTGGATTACCGGCATGTATTTTGTTTTGCTGTGTTTGTTGTTGGAGGCCTGCTCTTTTCTAATGGGAGGTGAAGAAGAGGCTAAGAATGGAGGGAGGGGAAACTGTGTTCAGGATGTATTGTATGAGAGAAGAATCTATTTTCAATTAAAACTAAAAATAAAAAAAAAAAATGAGATTTTTGAACTATTTCATTAAAAATAATTTCGTAGTGTTGGAATGATTTAGAAATTGGATATATAATTAAGGATAAGAAGCCATAGGATTAAGGACACTGTTCTCATATTAAAAGTCAGAGTTAACGTTGATAAAATGAAGACTATTGTTTACAACAAAGAGATGTTTTAGATTTTCCTATTGCTTTTTTCTCTTTTTCATTTATTTGCTTTTTAAGTACAGCATACATTGTAAGGAGGGATTTTTTTGTGTGTGTTTATTTTCAATTTTTTTTTTTTATTTGTCGCACAGATGGTGTCTTAGCAATATACATAGGAGGAATACAGGACTACTCCATTATTTATCTAATTGTCTTAAGGAAAATAATAATATAAAGCAATCTTCATATTGAAATGATGCAGAATAGTAAGTGTAAGGATTCAGACATTATGTTGGCCTTCCATGTCACCTGGCAGAATGCACTCAGGCAGTACCCTGGTCAGCCCAGGGTTCCATGACTACTAGTCTGCATGCAGGTGCAAAGGACCTCTTTATAAGAAAGACCCCCACCTGCTTCTTTTCTCTTTCCTCTCTCTTTTTGCTGTTTCCCTGGGGCAGACAGGATTTTCTTGTCTCCCTCTTCTGTCATCTCTCTGTCTCTGTCTCTTTACCTCTTTTCTCTTTCTTTCCTCCTTCCTCTCTTTTCTAATAAAACTCTCTTAAGCTCTGGCTACCTGGCATGTTTGTCCCCAGCTTCAGTCAACCTTGTTGCCATGGAATCCAGCAAGGTTCCCCAGTATTTTATTCTTAACAGTATGGAGTAATCTAAGAAAAATAATAATCCTTGTATGAAACATTACTTTATTCTTTTAGATGTCCTGTGATCTTTTATAACTTAGGGAATCTGAATCCTGCCTACTAATATCACTAACTCTATTCCCAGTAAATAAGGGTATTAAATGAAATAATGTATATTAGGTACTTTGATGTGATAAAAGCTTAATAAATTGACGATCATGGACTGGGAACTCCAGTTCAGTTAGGCAATAATTAAGAATCTTAAGTTCCTTTTAAAATTGTCTTTGAATTACATCCTCATGTGCTAAAAAGACTTTTAAAGGCAATAATGACTTTATTATCACTGAGGAGTTACTGCAATGATAGATGTTGTAGTGTGTAATCTAATTTTCCAAAGAGAAGAAAAGAAAGAGTCTTGAGATTTGGCCATTCCAACCAAACAATCCCATGGAAAATTCCAGTTGATTTATGAACTAGGAAAATATTTTATATGAAATATTAAAAGGAAGCTGTGGTTGCTGAAACTAGCACTTGATAAAATGCAAGTCATGCTGAAAGCAACAAATTTTCTCTTTTAAAAAAGAATTTTGTGTGCAAAACTAATCAGGAAACACCAGGGATAAGTAAATATTTCAAGAAAGTATGTAAATAAATAAATAAAATTTTGATAAGTTAATATATATTTTAAATACCCAAATAAGTATCCTTTTTAAATTATCTGACTACATAATTTGTATTCTGTAGAGTGAGTGCTTAATGAAATCTTGAAGGTCTTGGAGTAAGCAGAACATTGTGAAACAATACTCTAATCCTAGTGATAGTATCCATTGGCATACTGTGATTATTTACAAGTGCCTGTTCTTTTTATTTATTTATTTATTTATTTTCAGGAACACAGTCTTTCCAACCAAGGAGGATCAAAGAGCAAATTATCTAAAAATATAATACCTTATGGAATGAGTAATGTTGTTCTAAAACTTGATTTCAAGTTTTTCAATGACTAGGTTTTATTTTTTTAATGTAAATGTTATATTGAGGAAAATGCTTGTTAAAATATTATAAAGACTGATATATTTAATTTATCAAGTGCATATACACATGGAGAAAAGCATTGAGATTCAATTGAAATGAGAATGAAGGGAATGAATGGAAGCAAAGCTCTATATAGCTAACAGAATGAACATTATTTATTCTCACTTAGCACCGGTGAAATGGAATGAAAACTAATATTCCCAATTATTATGTAACAATTTAGCACCATCATAGACAAGCATGATATTTCCTGTGTATTGAAGAGGCCATGAACAATCAGGTTCCTGAATTATTACTGGGAGTGGACAAAGAATTTGGGAATCAAATTAATAATTTGGATTAAGAGTCTTGGTAACATTCAAAACCAGCAATTCAGTTTCCAAGGAAACTGATGGTTAGAAGTTCTCCATGAGTTTTAAGTGTTAAGGTATTTTTCCTGATGGTGTGTGTGTGTGTGTGTGTGTGTGTGTGTGTTTGTGTGTGTGTGTGCGCGCGCGCACGTGTGTGTTTGAGAGAGAGAGAGAGAGAGAGAGAGAGAGATATGTCTTTAGCATTTTAAAAAATCTCTTTTTGAGATTATTTGTTTGCTTAGTTTAGGCAAACTGTAATGTGAGTTCTGTCTAAGAGGTCCAAGGCAATAGGTTTGGATTGAATATAAAGATTTTTTATGGAAGGATGCGTGGGTGCTATGTCTTCACACCCCAGCCCTTCCCCCTTTCCCTGCTGTGAACAAAGTGCTCAGTGTCTTAGAATCTCAGACTTCAGTCCTGGGAGGAAGCTCCTGGAGACACAGCAAAAAGTAAGCCTTAAACTAAGTTTTGAAAGGGTCTGCTACTGTGATTGAAAGAGATGGAGGACATGGAAAAGAGCAGAACACCTCACTAGTGGCAGGAATCAGCATTGTCAGTGCTAGTGTCAGTGCATAAACATGTTTTTAACCATTTAAGGAAACAAAAACCTATGTGCATTGTTTGGCAGAGCAGTTATGCCTCTGTTCCTATCTATTAGCTAACAACCACGTAGAGATGAGTAGAGATAAAAGTGGGACTTAAGACCAGCCTTAAATAACCATGGTGAATTTTCCATATTCAAGAGGCTCAAAATTAGGAGTATGTGTGCCAATCCTTTTATGGGAACATGGACAGCTTCAGGCTACTTTAAATTTAGCTCCTCCTTGACTGAAAACATTTTCCAGATTTGATTCCAACAAATCAGCAGTTGAGCCTAAGAGTCAAAAGTCAAGACACATGAAGGCAGAACTCTAAACAACAATCACACAGGTCCAGCTGTTGGTTGTCCTAGATTTTTTAGCAAGTCCAGGTTTCTGGAGGTGCTCTGTAGTCTTGTAGCAATCCTGGTCAGTCTAGTGTTTTGCCTTAAAAGCAACAAAACAGCTCTCTTGCCCACTTGGAACTCACTTGTGACAGCTGCTGAAAAAACAGGAAGTGACTGGAATGCTTTTACAGCTTCTCTGGACCTTGGGCTGCTTTATAGCCTGGCTCCTGAAAACATCTGTGCAGGCAGTAAAGCACCAACAGGAGTCTCCTATCTCATTGAGCTTTTGGGTGCATGCCAAAAGGAAAGCACGTTTAAGTGCTGTGATTTATTTCTTATTCATGTATTATTATTATTATTTTCTATATTTGGCGGGGTTTGGGGGATGGCTGGGTTACAAAAACTGGTGGGGGAGGGGAGGGAAAGAAGGAAAAGAAGGAACTAGGAAGAGAGGAAGTTAAACGCAGTTCCCCTCCCTGTTTTTTTTTTTTTTTTTTTTTAGGGAACCCAATATGGCATCTTGCATGAGGAGCTTGTTTTCTGACCACAGCAGATACGTTGAATCTTTCCGGAGGTTTCTAAACAATTCCACGGAACATCAGTGCATGCAGGAATTCATGGAAAAGAAGCTGCCAGGCATAATAGCAAGGTAACAAAAAGGCTGCCAATGGGCTAACCGGTGGGCCAAAGATAGGTGGAACACAGCCCTGTGGCTAGGCAGAGGTGGAGGAGACATTGGGATTAGAGTTAAAGCCGATCTCAGCTACCGACCTTGCCTAAACCTGCTCGCCTCCCTTAAGCAGCTCCGAGTTTGCTTTAAATACCGAGAGACTGATTTGTGCTGCGTAGCCGCCAGGGCACAATAAGTATTAACCATTTGAAGGCTTTAAAGGCACAAAGCCCGGCCGTGTTTGGAAAAAAGATAAGTTACCAATCATTAACCTCAGATTTTTTTTTTTTTTCTAGCCTCCTTTCAGATTTTGTTTTTGTTTTTTTAAAGTCCCAAATGGATTCTGGTATTCTTTTCGTTAGAATCAAATATAAGTAATTGCAGAAAACTGTTTGCTTCAGAGCATAGAATTAGTGCTTCTCAATTCTAATGAGTTCAGTTCATTTTCTTTATCTGTTATTGTAATCACTGTGCCAAAAGCTGTCTTTTCCTTTCAACTTAATATTACCAATATGATCCCCCCAAAGGATCATTTTACCACTCTCAGTGAAACTGGTTTCTTGCCTTCACCCAGACCCCGTTGTTTATCACTAATTTTTGATTAATGTGTTCAATTTGTACCAAAGCTGATAAGCATTATCGAGGTAACAGATTCCACAGGCTAACAATAATCAAGTCACCTATCTGGGGATAAATTGTTCCTACTTGTTCTGTTTCTAGAAGTCACTATGGAAAACTAGTAAGCAATGACTGGCTGTGGACCTAATTTACAAACAACAAAGAAATCTGGTATTTTATCTTTTGCTGTTTGAATTTCTCTGTGGAGTTAGTTTCCTGTGGTTGTTCTTCTGTCTAACCAGAGCAGACTTGTTGGACAAATACAGAATTCTCCTCCTCCTCTTGTAAAGGACTTTATCAACTGAGTCGTTTCCCCAGCCTTGTATTTTCTGTCTTAACAAGGTTAAAGAATAGGATAAAGGGTATTAAAAACTAAACCATGGGCTCAACACCCCACCCTATGCACTCATAGCTAGATTCCACTGAGTATAAGTGGATTTAGGCTGTACAATCAACAGCACAAGAAGTTGGGAGGGACACCTGGTGGTGGGGAGATAGAGGAGAAATTTCAGGGGAAGGTGAAGGAAATCCCTACAGAGTGGAGGCTCACTCTGAGACCATGGATTAAACACAGACCACACTCAAACCCTTATTTTCACAGAGAGATCCTTTATTAAGGGAGGAAGGTAAAGTTGTAAAGTGTCTACTTTCTGACTAAGGCAAATCATGCCCTTGCTGGTGTAATTTTTAAAGGGGGAGGCCTGTGTTAGAATGGGCTAGGATGTATGGTATATTTGGATTGGCACTGTTAATTAGGGTAAAATGTTAAAAGGGAGCTTTTGATTGTTGGACTTTAATGCTTCCATAACTGGACCTTGGTAGTCAGCCTCGGGAGGAGGAAGTGGCCAAACTAGGGAATAGACCTTGTTGGCTAACTTTAGGAATGTGATTTAACAGTTTTTAGCAAGGCAGAGGGAACTCGGGAGAAAGGCATGGCCTGTCAGAACCACATGCTAGAGTGGGCTAGTCCCTTCAGAAGGAACACTGGATAAATTTGATCAAACTTATTATATATATGTATGACATTTTCAAACTAAAAAAAGCATTAAAGCAGTTACCAAGTAGACAGCTTTTATCTGAAATTATAGTTTACTTCTTTTGAACTTTCTACTCATTTCTAAAAGTACAGGTTGTTATAGGTTGCTTTCTCAATACACACTCACTCATCCCTTAGTTTAACCAGATCCTTGATTTTCTTCACCCTCTCAGTTTAGTCTGAAGATGGATGGGTTTAAAACAATAATGGCCCCTGACCTGTCTTCTGAATGAATCCAGTCTAGATGGAATGTTTAAGGTAGAATTTGTGAAACATAAGATTTTGGTTATAACTAAATTTATGTTATAATGGCAATACATAAAGTTATGAATATCTGAATCCAAATGTCATTATTAAGGAAGCAATTTTGGTAGATATGGGGGCCCATGCTATAATCTACCACTTAGGAGGCAAAGACAAGATCTGTAGCATGAGTTATATAAACCCAGAGGCTAATATTGGGGTTCAAGCTGAAGATCAGAAAAGCAAAGCAGGCAAGCTACCAGAGAGGTCTTACCCCTCCTAAGACTAGGGCGGTCCTGTCCTCAATGTAGCTGGAGACTAATTGCCTGTTCTGAGACTCTGTTTCTGTTTTATATACCTCTCGTGCTGGGATTAAAGGCATTCATTCACTAAACTATGACTAACTGGTATGACTGCTGGGATTAAAGGTGTGTACCATCACTGTCTGACCTCTGACTGTGGCTAGCTTTGCTTTCTGATCTCCAGACAAGATTTATTAGATCATAAACAATATATTACCACAAAGATAGTGAGTTCCAGACCAGAATGAGCTACAATGTGAGACTGTTTAAAAGAAAATAAATAAATAAAAAAGAAAGGAGAAGAAAGAATGAAAAAGAAAAGAATATATTTTCCCCTTGAAATTAGATTCTGCAAAAGGAGCTCTAAGCTTTTTGAAGTAGTTTAAAAGTTACATGGTGTTACAAAATGCTTCCAAACTTCCCTGTGTTCTTAGGGAAGAGTTTGCTAAAGTGGGAGGTTGGGTATGGCAATCGCATACTTAGTGTTATACATTTTTATAAATAAATGCTTTTGTATTTTAAAACTCTAAATGATTTTGAAAGCAGGTAACAACAGAGTTCCTTTGTCCCAAATACTTTGTCTGTGATTTCCACTATCCAAAGGCAACTATTTTTAACTAAATCTTTTGTTCATATCAAAATCTGTAGTTTGTTATCATTTTTTTTTTTTGGTAGTTTTGCGTAACGTGTTTTCTTCTATTTCTTCAGTTTTACCACATTCTTGAAATGTGATTTTTTTTTTTTTGTTTCTTTGTTTTTTGTTTTTCTGTTTGGCTTTGTTGCTTTGTTTACTGAAGTTTGAAAATTTCAGAAATTGAATTTACTATGGTAACTCTCAGGAATTCATCCTTGATCTGGATGTTTCTCCTTAAATTCTTCACTTACAAATATCTGCTAAATTAAAATTTCTTAGAAAAAAAAAACTTGATAAATTGGATGAAAATTTTTGTCAGTTTATCTTGCTGCTTCTTTTTAGAATACTTTCTTTGCCCTTTTTTTTTTTTTTTTTTTTTTTTTTTTTAGGGCAGCCACTCAGATCTTTTCCTGACCCTTAAATTTGCATCTGAAAGAAGTCCTCATGCCATGGGTGGAATGCACTGTGATTTCACATTGAAAGTACATACTCTTTTTTTTTTTTTTTTAAGTTGATTCCCAGGATAGGCACTAAAGACATAATTAATATTTGTTTATTGAGAGGAAAATGGGGAAGGAAGAGGAAAGAGACTTGTAGAGGTAGCATGGACCAGGCCCAGGCTTTATGTCATCTGTGTAAAAGGTCCACAGAACCATGTGTTTTAGCCGCCAAAGAAATGCCACTTTTTCTATATGAGATGTTTATAGTGGTGCTTCTGTGTCTCCCAAGTTCAAGAAAGAAATGGAACCTGTGTTTTCAGGAACTCTAAAACTAAAAAGAACAATAGAAATAAAGGGCCACAGATATGACTGACCATTCATGCATTATTCTTTGCTTCTCAGTGGACTGGATAGAAAGAATTGCAAAGCACCTTTCGTTTTTTTCCTTAAATTCTATAATTGTGTCTATTTGCTTGCTTTTCAGGATTGGAGAAACAAAAGCAGAAATTAAAATTCTGAGCATAGGCGGAGGTGCAGGTATGCATAATTCACATGAAATTTATATTCTGCTATAGGCATCATGGTATTTGATAGTCACATTGCTCACACTCTAGAAAGCCACTTTCTTTTTCTTTTGTAAAAGATAGATTAAAAATACTGTCACCATTCAACTCAAATGCCCTCAATAGATTTATTGGCTTTATACTTTAGCCTTCATTACAATTTGTAGGACAGATAAGAGATGAAATTTTCTTTTTTTTTTTTTTAAGTAGAAAAGCAGGATAACTTTGAAGATTATTTCTTATCCAAAATTATTTACATACATATAGAAAAGGGAAGTTTCAGAAGTTCTTTAAGCTCGAGCCCTTTAAGGAGTGTGGTGATATTCTGTTTGTATTTTAACAAATAAAGCTTGCCTGAAGGTCAGAGTGCAGAGCTAGCCACACTAGTTAGCCATAGGGGTCAGGCAGTGGTGGTACACACCTTCAATCCTAGCACTTGGGAGGCAGAGACAGGCGGATCTCTGTGAGTTGAAGGTCACCCTGGGCTATACAAAATTGATTCAGTCTGAAAGAGAAACAGCCAGGCAGTGTTGGCTGGCTGTTCACACCTTTACTCCCAGCACCAGGGAGGTGGAGAGAGGAATATAAGGTGGGAGGAGCTCATTGCATTTCCTCTGAGGATTCATAGAGACAGGATTGCCCTTTCCATATGAGTTAGATGCACTTTCCAGATGAGTTAGAGGTAAGAACTAGGGGCTGGCTGTTCTGCTTTTTTGATCTTTCAGCTTTCACTTCCTAATAATATCTGATTCATTGTTTTTTATTATTAAGACCAATTAGAATTAGTGTTACTGGTCCATGTGAAGGAATGGAAACTTTCACCAGAGTGTAAATTGATGTATGGCTCTTTTCATTAAAAACATCTTAATATGGACAAAATACTATTTAATCATAGTTAATTTACATTATTGTATCCTCATCACTAAAATGAATTAGTCTCACTAGTCCCTTCTTCTGAATGAATCCTAAAAGTATTTTTTAATAACTCAAGGCACTTTCTTATCTGTATTTTATTAGCATCACTTGGTTTTATTATTATTAGGAGGCTTTGTTCTAGATGAAAAATCCTAACTCCAGAAAAGCAGATTGATGTATGTATCATTTGAAGCACCCCCCCCCCCAATGAACTGTGTAACTGTCTGATACATGAGCTGAGATTTTTCTCATCAGTAAAATGGAAACGCTGAGTCTCATCCACAGATTGTAATAAGAAAGCATTTATGAAGTGCTGAACATATACTATTTGTCTCATAAGGCAAGACTGTGCCTCTGCAACACTAAAATAACAAGTTTCTTCTCAAGGGTTAGTATTTGTTTAATTTTTAAGGTGTTATATATCTTTGACATAATATGTTAATATAAAACATGCTGACATTGTTGTGATTACAGCCTACTAAGTAGGAACCACCCTGTCACCTGTTAGTGTCCTTGAGCCTATTAAATACAAATACAGCACCTTATAAATGAGATGATTTATAGCCCATAGGAACACAAAGAAAATCAAGAGCTCTTCAGTGAAAAAGAATAGCTAGTTTATGGTGGCATTATTTGTTCAGTTTTCATAAAATTCAGTGTGCTATAATGTAATTAGGGCTACTTCTAAAAATCCATTTGCTCTGTTATCTTTAACCACACAGAAAGAAAAAGCAGAAAAGACAAATCAAGAAGGTTACTGTTGTTAATCATGCTATGGAGAATGTTTAAGTTATGGTACTATGTTATTGCTTACTGATACTATAATCACAAGGATTGAAATAGTGATGAATTACCAAAGGGCAATTCTCTTAATTAAGAGAATATTTCCAGTGTGTTTGCATATGAGTTTCAGATAGTCTCCAAGCTATCACTATAACACATATAACTTTATAGTGTTACATGTGCTCAGAGAGTATGAAAAACCCAAGCAACAATAATTAAAAATAATCTTTATCACCATTTATTTGTCTTTTAATATAAAGTTTATTGAATTTTTAATACAAATGTATCTACATACTTTCTTTTTTGTTGTTTTGTTTTTGTTTTTTTGAGACAGGGTTTTTCTCTGTAGCCCTGGCTGTCCTGAAACTCACTCTGTAGAGCAGGCTGGCCTGAAACTCAGGGATCTGTCTGCCTCTGTCTCCCAAGTGAGTGAGGCATGCACTATTATGTCCAGCTATATATTCACATTCTTATGATCTATCTTATAAAGAATATCCAGCCTGCACACTGATTCTTTACATCAATAAGCACCTAGGTGCTAATAGGATGCATCTAAATAAGGGGAAGAATACGTTGAGTCCTTTTGTTGGTAGTCGAACATTGTATTGATACCAGGCTCTATCTTGGAGAGAATATGAAATCACATTAGAGTTATCCTTCCTAAGAAACTTATCAGAAGCATAAGCAGACCTTAAAGAAAATTTCAGATTATATACTTAGCTTTCATTAACCCAATGAAATAAATAAGTAGTACCTTGAATAGTTGCTTGGACAAGGTGTCATTGTTATGAATGAATGGCATTTCATATAGTCTGAAATTTTATATTGCAGATAGGGAATGTTTATCTGAAAGCCTGAAGGCAAGCATGATCCATTGAGGAATCACATAACCTTGCTTCAGAAAATCAGGACCTGTCATATTTTACTATTTTCAATTAAGAGGTTTATGTCATCCATGAACTTGATTGTACTTCTGAATCAGTCTCTCAACTCTAATCTTTTTCAAATTCAGCCATTGTTCTTATTCTATACTTTGTGCTGAGGTCACACTTCACAGGAGGAGTCTTAGCTCACTAGAATCTGGTTTCACTGTCTACATGTTCTAGTCTCAGATGCAAAAGCAACTTCAGCTGATTTTCTACATTACCTCTGGTGAAAATGTTCTTTCCATTCATAACAGTGATACCATTTCTCCCAGCACAGTTGTGCAACACATATCCAAAGCAAACATACAGAGACTCTGTAAGTGAAATTACTACTTATGGGTGATTGTCCTCAGGGTCCAGTAACTGCCATCTAGGGGCAAACTCTGTCCCTTTGCAAAAGGTCATCTTAGCTGGCTTATTGACAGTTTACACCTGCCCCCAAGTATCCAACTGTTCCTCACAAACTGGCAACTCTGTACATGACCTGGAGGAGGGGTTATAATGTATATATTTTACATATTTATATATAAATAATCTATATATTTGTATATATGCCAAGGGGAAGACTAGAGAGGGGACTCTATCTAGGTGTCTATGGGAAAGCCCTCATTTCCACTGGCTGGATCTTTCCAGGTGGTGGCCAGAGGGGAAGGAGTGCCCATATCCCTGTTCTCTGTCAGGAAGCCTAATATCTTCCCTAGAAGATGGGATAGACCTTATTTTCATCTTCCTCTGGGAAGGAATTTTTGCAACACAACTTTATACCACTTTATACCATTTAGTGCTCATGTTCTTTAGTTAATTTTTATTTTCAGAAATAGCAGAAGAGTATGTCTATGCAATATTTTCCTTTTAGAAATTGGTGTTTATGTCAATAGACTTTCTATACCTTATGAAAAATTGTAAGGTTTTAGTCATAATCTAAGCAATTATTAGGGTTTTATACAGTTCGAATGAAAGGAAATTGATGGAAAACTCCTTTGGGTAGTCTTTAATTTTTCATATTCACAGCACTAGTATCTATAAACTATATGTTCTAGTGATGGAGAAATGTATGAAACAAATATTGTATGAGTAAAACAGAAAGGAAATCATAAGGAAGACACATCATGGACAAAACCCAGACTGTGTAACGTTTACTGCATCCAAACTGAGTAGCTGTTTATGTGTATATGCTGGCATTTGTATTCTTTAATCAGAAGTGATCAGCAGCAGCAGTTTTTGTAGTTGTTTTTATTTTTCAGAGTTTCTATAGTCATATCACATTAACTGCAGCAATTGCTTTGTTTATTTAGAGAAATACCATTATTTTTATTCTAAATCTTATAGAATTTGTTTTTGGGTCATTTTCAGCATTGGTGATTCCTTAAATTAAAATTATACTTGTTAGGGCTTTACTGTCACTTAATTTGTATGAGTATTGTTTTAAGTTAAGTTGCACATGAAAAACAAGGAAAAATAGTCTTTTTGGTAAGGGGAAATGCTACTAATTTAACAATTATGCCTGAAAAATATTCCAGAAAGGAATTAATGGCAATATGTTCTCCTTGCTATGGACTTGGCGTATATGAGACTTATTTTTTCCAGTTATTATATTCAAGTATCAGAAAGTATTACAAGAATTAGACAGAACTAAAATCAGTAATCTAATTCTACCAGTTTTTTATTTGAATTCCCATTAATCTATTACATTATGTACAGGTGGAATGAACCCTCTCATAATTTCTTTATAATAATTTTACTATTATCAGTTGAGAGCAGTTGGTTTGGTGAACTTTTGTTATTCAACACATAGACACCAGTGTTTCCTTGAAGAACAAAAATGAGGAAAAGTTTTAATTTCCCTCACTTTATAAAGTAACTTGAGCATTATTGTTCTATAGACAGAAACTGCAGAATTTGGTTGGTTGAGTGAATGGATAGATTTACAATTTAATAATACTGATATAGTTATCTTTACACAGACCATGGCTGCTTTTCCTGAGTGAGTGTTAACTAGGGTCATCATCCCTGGTGAATTATTCTTTTTCTGTTAAGATGCACAGGACCTAATTATTGGCTGTCAGCCAAGGTTGTGACCTCTTAAACTGCCTGGCAGAGGCATGCTGTTTTAGCTAAAATTTACTTTTGTATAACTTAATTTTTAAGCAAGTTTATTGTTAAATCCTTTATAATATACTTCCATTTCTTCCTACACTATACACTAAGAGATGGCTGGAAACAAAGGTTAATGTTTAATTATCAAAATCAATTATAAATTGAGAATGATGAAAAACAGAGAATTTGGGAATAAGAGAGTAAAAAGTGAAGTTGAATGTACTTATTTCTGTCTTCAGATAGCTCCTGTTGA